ACGACGGCGTCGGGGTCATTTTTTACATCCATAATTGAATTGCAGGCAATTAATACAAATATTTTATTAGTGTTGAATTGTAATATATACCAATTAAAGTGCAAGTAATACGGGAGGAATGCATCTAAATCATGCCAAGGATAATTTTGTAAGTGCAACCAATATGTACAAGCATGTAACATATTACATTTGGAATTTGCTACGTAGGATATATCGACCGTAAAATTATTGTATAGTTATTTTAATCTAGGTTTTTTGTCGGTCTATAAATACAAAATTGTCCTTGCATTTGCAAAAGAAAACTAGTAACGGGTTGTTAATTATAAATTCCATAAACGCAGCAAAACAACTGGTAGTGTCCATAGCCGTCTTGAAATAATTGATCATTTAATTTGGAAATTATTTTATTGAGAGCTGCGAGCCTTTGTCCATTTAACTATGAACCTATACTAGTAGGCGCCATGTATGGTACCCGTTTGGTAAGTATTCCATTTTTGAACTAACGGCATAAATGTCATAATAATTTATACGGTTGTATTATTTTTATGGTGCAAATTGTTGAAAGATTGGTAAAAGCTACTATAACTTGACAAAAAAACATTTTCATTTTTTTTCATCTCCAGAAAATGATTGTCTATTGATTAGTTCTAACCTGCATAGTCCCTTTGTGCAGGATTAACTACGTTCTATGATGCAGTATAATGCGTACGTACCGTTAATCTTTCCTGAATTTGCCGGAACATCCAGTAGACGTTGTTAGGGACTTCTAACGTTTTGCTATCATAGCAATTCCCACAATTACGCTATGGAAAGTAGGGTAAATGTATGAATGCATTTTCTCCTGACCTATGGCAAGGTAAAATATGATTCATCTAAGGTTTATCGACGCCCACGCAAAATATTTATGCGAACAAATTCAGACAAATTATCCTGATTGCAATAATAAACTACTCAAAGAGCGATCAACAGAAATTCTCCATTGATGGTCATGACAGGCATTTGCATGTAGAAAAATTCCTCAACAAGCCTTCGTTGATGGGCGTACGTACGTAATTTACATTGAACAAGAGGCCGCGGAACTTTTGATTGACGTCAAAAATTACCGCGCGCCTTAGGCCTTTAGCTCATTATATTCGCATAAATCGTACAATCAAACCGAAATCGAGGGAATAACCGTAAAACGTAAAAATGTCAGGTCGTGGATTCAAACAATGAGCAGGTTTACAATGACAACCTTCAATTTGATTGAATTGCGAGATGCTTCAGCCTTTACGACTAATGAAGTCGCAAAGGTCGAAACCGAGAAGAACACCAGTCGGCGAGAATAAAATTTGCTCCTTTTGACTGAGCCTTATAATCCATAGCCTTTTGGATCTGCTAGTTTTTTCGTTTTTCGGATATCGAAAATGTAAAATATCCCATTATAAGGCAGCTTTGTCGTTATTTCCATTAATTAGCTGAACATTTATATCAACAAGATCTCTTTGGTTTGTTTGTGACAATTGCGCTACAAGGTATTCTGAAAGTTTTGACTTTTAACAAGCAACGTTTGAAATAACGAAGCTAATTTTCGGTGAAAGAACACCGAAAAAGTACAATAAATTGAACATTTTCGATTAAAAAACACGAGGTTGTATACCGCGTCCTAAATTTGCAACATTTGGAGCTGTCTCGTCTTTTTCTGTGTCTACTAAGACGATTTTGCATGACATAAACAAACCTACGCGATGACGATGTTCTAAGTACATAAAATATCATCGAATCGATATCTACGTTCGGTTTTTCAAATGCGATTTTCTCATAAACTAGGTTAACCTACAAACCGCGCGGCGCCTGATTTCGATACTGACTCACATAGTACCACAAAACATCAAAACGCAGGAAGGAGCGAGTTAGAGTCGGGCTGACCCATATAGTTTTTCGGAATTTATTGTCTCGGTTAAAAGGCTTTGGTATATGTGTTTCTAGGAAAACTTGTTTATTATTGCCTGATCCATACGCTCTGTAAAGAAAAGTCCCAACTTTGACGACACCGAGTATATCTGTAAGCTTTTATATAAACGTACTCACTGTAGTCCGAGCAGTTCAGTAAATTGCAGAAATTGCATAATCGTGTACACCATGCCTTAAAACAATTAAAGAATGGTCTGGTGACTTGGAAAGGAAAATTATAACACGTTTCCAAGATAATACACGGGGTCAGTGCCCTTCTGTATATCACGAGCAATCACACACCCATCAAAACGAATTGGGAGTGGCAGATTTATAGAATGCATTAGCTCTGTCAGGTGTATTTCGTAATATGTAATAAAAGCAAATGTGTAATAGAAGTTTAGCGCTGACTGCTTTTGTAATATGTTTCGTAGAAGCTGAAGAAGCAACTTTGTATCTTCACAACCGTTGTCATATCATATAAAAAGAGTAGAATAGGACAAACACTACATCTTTTAATACAGGTAGAAACACTGACTATTCAAGCTTTCCCTATAAGAACTATAAACGAGAGCTAAAGTGTGGAATGAATGTAAAAACTGCGAGGGACCCAGTCAGTAATGCAGTGCCTTATACGAGTACCCCATATGGAGGAAACGCACATAAACATTATATCAAGACAGAAGCTGAAGAGTTTGGTGCAAAAACTGGTCATCTCCATTACCTATAATTTTACAGTATTAATAAAAAACATTTTTTTAAAGTAAGAAAGCGGACCAAATGAGACGTGATAAGGTACAGAAAAGGATACTGATAATCAGTTCTGCATGAAAAAAGAACTGTGTTTTGAATTTTTCTCCGTCTAGTGTTGAAACTCCTTTATTACTGAACATAACATAACGAAGTAATAATTCAAAAAATTTCAACTTCCACGTCTTCGTCTTCACTGTCCTATTTCCGGTCCAAAGGCTTGACATACTGTATCATAGTAAGACTAGTCATTTTTGACTTAATGGGCAGAGGAATAAGTTTAGTACAGTTTGCCATGGTAACGAATATGTGGCGGACGTTTTTGTTTAAACAAAATTTCGAAAGAGAGGTTATACCGGTACACTTTACACCGTGACACTTTTCATACTTGAAAATGCGGTACTTTGATATGGCAAACTTCTCTCTTTTACTGTTTGAATGAAGTGCTGAGTGACGTTTAGGATCACATCCTGACTCACTTGTAGGACTGTGAATTATTATTTCTCTGAAGTCTTTCCAACCCTTGAGCGTATAGACTACTTCTTATTTTCGGTTTTCTTTTTCTATCAGGTCAAAATATCTGTCACAGGATAAAAAGCTGTGCACTACTTCGGGAAACGGATGAAATATTTCCCTTAAATTTTTTTCAGTAGCATTAATAAACATATGCAAAAACAGTACAAGCACCGAGTTTTTATTATGTGCAAAGAAATTATCTGAAAAAAGATACAGTTCGCGAATAGTGTGCGGAAGAAAGAACCCGTAGTTACTATCGTGAGGATGTTTTTCCATACAATTTAATCTCATAAAAGGAAGCAACTAAGGAATTCTTCAAAAAAAAAAAACTAACAGTATGAAACTTAAGCAGCGTAAAAGTTATTGCAGATTTGGAAGGAAGCCGTTTACTATGCACGTACGGCCAAATCCGTTACCACTGGGCGTGTTATCTGTGATTGTGGAGAGAAATTTTACTCCCGACTATCCACCTTGAGCTTTAGAGAACACTAGTGACACTGAGCATAAACATAAACTTCACGGCAGAGCGAAACTGAGGGAAATACATCACTACAAATAATTCCGCATCAACCAAATACTGCAGCCACGTAAAGGTGAATGATATGTTGCAATCTCGACTGGAAAGGGAAGAATCAAGAAAACCTGAAACACAGGAAGACCACACAGACTCTCCAGCAGTCGCACATCTGTCATCGTGCTGGCAAACAGAAATTACATACAATCCGTGATGAGGGCGTGTCACGAAAAAATCGTCTGCGTGATCGGATTTTTGGTACAAGCTCACGATTTTATGTGAATAGCATGATGCAAAGATCACGTTTGCTATTTAGTACTAAATGAAATTAAATTAATAACGTTATTCGAGACAGCCGACAGTTTCATTGCAGTATTTATCCATGCCACAATATGACGTACTGACAGAAATGATCTCTGAAACGGTTGAAATCAACTTTTTATTTAATTTATATTAATGGTACTCCACTCCATATTAGAAAAAGAAGCTATGCAGTGCATGCTGCTTAACGTGATTCTTGCAATTGGGCACAATTTATAGAAATATCTAAAAAATTTTCAATGTTCAGGGTATTGTGTCTGCATATTTTTTCGAACTTTGCCGTTTAATTCCTTAACATTTGCATGGGCTCTTATGGGAGACTATATCTTTTTTCGTATTATTTCAACTCTCACAAGTAATCAATTTAAGGGAGTGTCTAAAGCATATGGTTGGTCATATGAAACTTCGATGACACCAAAGTGTTACCATATATCATTTGAAAAAAGTTTAATAACTCATTTTCTAAATACATAACATATTTATGAAGGCTGATAAGCTGGTCGATGCTTGGGTACCATTAGAAAATGTTACCACAAAACTGCAATATAAACCTTTCATATAGTTTTTGTAATACATAGCAACAAAGCTGATAAACACAGATTCTGCCGATTTTGTTGCTGGTAGGCGTGCTGTACGAGGTCGTGATATCACGGTTAAGAAAAAAATTATTTCCGACTATAGCACTGGTACCACCGAAGTCACTGGTGGCTAGAATATCTCTTTAAAAGTGAGAGCTTTTCACGAACTCTATACATAACTACGCTTTAATCTTTACTCAACTATTTTTTTTGCAACATTTGGAAAGCTTGCTCTCCAAGTTTATTCATTTATCTATTCGTTTTTCTTGTACGCCCAGCCATTATATCCAGCTGAAAAATTTGCAATTTAATTTCGGAATTGAGTTTTGTCTCTTCGTTATTATATAGAAAGATTACTGCTGCATATTTAAAAGTTATAAGCATTACAGGGCAAAAAACACGGCGGTGGAGCCAGATGATGAAAAGTTTGGGTTGAAGTTAAGGGTAATGGTTGTGACGCAAAGCTTCTTGGAAGTTTCTGAGAAAAACTTTGAAATTGGCATTCTGTAAGTAGATGTAGATATATTTTAGAAATCATTAGGTTAGTGTACTTTGACGGATGTATATTTTTGATCAAACAACTGTTTGAAATATGGCTACTAATGTGCCTTCGAGAATCTACGAAAAACGGAGTCAAGTGTACTAACTCGGAGCTTTCGGTGCATTTTCAAGCTCTCTCATTTGAGAGATATTTTATACCTGAAAAAAAAGGGAACTTTATATAAACATTTCGCTGCTGTGCCGCTGGAGTCCCATGCAGGTCGCAGTGACCAGTCGTACAGTTGTCAGTGGCGGGTATACATTTTGATCTCCATGGTGTTTTTCATAAACAGAACAAAATAAAAACGTATTTATACATTATATTACATTATGTTGCATTATATTACACTATATTACATTATATTACATTATATTACATTATATTACATTATGTTGCATTATATTACACTATATTACATTATATTACATTCTATTACATTATATTACATTATATTATATACCTTGCATCCTGCAGTTAGCTATTTTGTAAAAGCATTCGACTTTCTTTAGGTATTATTTATTACGATTTTGATTTCACATTTGATATTGTTGAATGTTAATAAAAAATCCATTGCCAATGTAAGTATTGCATCACTTTGATATTGTATCTCTTTCTCCACAATAATGCAAAACAACCTACTTCTATACTTTACAATACTTCTGAGCGGGTGGAGCCGATTTAGGCTAGTAAGAAATAAATCTGGCAGGATAAAAATACTTTTACCCCACAAAAGTCCCACGTTTTCAAAAATAAACTCTCCCTTGTCTGGATTCAGCATATATTTGTAAGGGTAGGTTAGGAATGCGTATCGATTTCCTATGAAAATGCAATGTCAAGGCGTAGGCAGCTATTTTTAGCAGAATAAATCGAAGACTGACGACTACTTTTGTTCTCGAATGGGAATGTTTTGCATAGAAATGTCATTATTCCTGTTGAATAGACAGTCTGGGAATCCTTTTTGGCTTCGCATAGTGTGTAAGACTTCACATAATGTAACCATTTACATGCTGGGCAGACTCGGGCGTGAAAATTAGTTTCTGTTATTGTGGAAGCATTACTACATATATATATTTAAGTAAATTGAATTTCTGATATATGGGATTCTCAAAATACGCAATTTGTGATTCCTACGTATTCCTCAAGCTGATAGTTGGAAAGCTGTTCGTAGAAGTTTACAGATAAACCATATTACATTATGAGGAAAATAAAGGTGATACTGCCGCCTACGAAGTTTCGCCAATCGCAGTGCCAGAGACCCATATGTACGGTAATAGAAAACCATAGAATGGGACCCAATGTGTTGAGCGAATACAACTTTTGCATAGTACGTCAATGCTGGTAACCTGGTGAGTACTTAGTGCTCCACAGTGACGATTAGATGCGTACGTGATGAACGACCTTACTCAGCTCAAAGATGTCGGGAATTTGGAGTTTCCTGCTACCGTACGTAGTACCGGGATGAAGTGTTACCAAATGAGTAGAGACCTATGCCGTACTGCAGATTGCTAAAAAGCATACAACAACTTTGTACACGACTGGTTGTGGCCTCAGAGACGGATAGAAAACATATCATATTCAGCACTTTACAATATGTTTAGGTAACTTCCTATGAAGACAGTAGCGAAGATTAGCTCTAGTCCAGGGGTCCAGCCCAAGTTTTCACAAAGTGGCCCAAACGTGGCCCTTTTGATTAGGGCTCCTGAACTCCTGCATTGGTCCAGAACCGGTGCTGACTCTAGGTTGACTAACACACTAGGCGACTGGGCAGATAGGGAAGAACCGAAAGTAAGGCTAGAAAGGGATAGCAGGCCCAAACGACGATCTAACGCTGTAGCTAGTGAACAAAATTACGCAGGCACTCGATCTTCTAGTTGGGATTCACATGGAAACATGAATAAATCTTATCTGCTCCAAACCGGAAGAAGAAAAAATCATTTCACTTACTTGGCAAATATGTGGGTATCAAGATATTATGCATGGCAGGATTGAAATGAGGCAGATTGGCTGGAAATTGTGCATTCTGGTAGATACTGCATCAAATTTTAATGGCTGAATTATTAGTTATATACTGTTGCCAGAGATGAGTTAAGAAGACCAAGTTACCAGGTTCACTTTCTTGGATGGTCTTATTCTAGAAACCATAACATACAGGAAAATTTATCGTGATTCATAGAAGCTATCACACTCAACATTTCTTGCTCCTCTTTATCATGTCTGGCTGAACTCTGAGAATATATTAAATTTCTCTGAATTTAATTATCTTAATCAATGGGGACCGGTTCCATCTATCAAAACCTCAATTGTTTACGAAACAAACGGCTGGTTTAGTTGCTTAATTATCTTTAATCTAAAAATAGTCTTTGGGCGTGTGGTGTATTTAAATTTCTTTCTAACACCAGACAGGTTTCGGTATGTATTTTTAGAATGGTGCATTCCTACGGCGCTCGCTCAGTATAATGTTTAATACAACTGCTGCCCAAGGCACTTCCAACAACTGCAGCTTTGTTTACTAAACAGCTACGTATTTCCTGAAAATATTCATATGAGCGTACTTCACGAACCGGTATGCCGATTCTGATAGATCTTCAACATAGTTAAACCGAAGTGGTACTCTAACAACAATTTTGGCATTCGACGATATACATATATACATATGTGTATATACAGGGTGGCCCATCCATGTGTGGACGGAATATTACTCATAAACAAATATATTTTGGAAAAACCTATTTACGGCATGTTGCACATGACATTTGAGGGAACATATCTAAAATATTGGCAATTATACAGGGTGTCCCAATTTTGACCTACATATCAAAGTTGTGATTTTTTAAATGGAATGCCTCAAATTTTATTGCATATTTCGATAAACCAATTCAAAAGAAGAAGATTGATATAACATACTATGGGCTTTTGCTAATTAGCTACTGAGATATAAAGTGTTTTGTCCAGAAAAACCATCCATTTCGGCAACCCCTCAATCCGCCATTTTGAAATTTGGAATTTTGTATAAAAAAAAAACTCACACACCTCAGCTTTTATCTTATTACTTTTTTGAATTTTCATTTTTGCTCATACAGGGTGATCAAAAACGCGAATTGTACATTTCCTCAGAAATTTCAAATGCATCACCCTGTATATTTGTGCAAGTTTGGATTCAATTTTTTATAAGCTTTTTCTTGGTATGAGGTTTGATTTAGATAAAGTCACTAGATTTTGGGTGATTTAAGCTTCTAATAGAACAAAACACCAAAATTAAGGAAAAAAATCACATCATCCATGGAAACAAAAGACAAACAGTGGGCTAGTTCCATATTGCCACTAAGAGTAGAGATTTGACGTAAAAACTAATAACAATCAGAACAGTATTCAGCTTCAAGCGTAATAGAGAAAGACAACTATAACAACAACATAAACAAACAACTATTACTACTCAAGACTTAATCTACAACAACTGCTCGAAAATATTTCCACCATGTTGAATACACAGCCGTAGTCTTTGGATAGATGACGTTGCACATCCCTCAGCATGTGTTCCCTTATGTTCAGAAAAGCATCCTTAATCCTTTCCTTCATATTTTCCGGGGTAGATGGTAGATATCTATAAACCTCTTGCTTAACGTAGCCCCATAAGGAAGGAAGTCTATCGGTGTCATATCTGGTGGTCTGGAAGGCCAAGATATAGGCCAAGATATTTTAGGGAATTAAGCCGTTCTATAAAAGACGTGCTAATAACCGAAAAAATAGCCTTAAAAACCCTTATCAGATCTAGATGTCAAATTCATTAGGTGCATCAAAAAGAAAAGTCACTATTAGCTTGTTATTAGACGTGTTCTAGTAAGTGACAACTAGCAGTTTCAACCGACCTTTCAGCTCTAAATCCTTACATCTATTTAGGATACACAGATTTTCCAGCAAAATTATAGCTATCTCTACCAATTTAGATATGTTACTTCGCACCGAAATTAGGCGATAGTTGTCAACGCTACCACGTTGATCTTTTTTAAATATTGGATTTATCGTAGCGAGTTTTAATATGGCAGGAAAATAACCACTATCCACAGATTCATTAGATAAAAATATCAGATTTTGACCAATACAACCCGACTTAAAAGGTTCAGAGTCGTATTATTAAAATGAATTGTTCATTTAACGAAATAGGTTTAATGAAACTAGAATTCTGCTTGTAACTCGAAACAGTACATGGAAGAGACAATCAGATTTGGCCCAAAGCCCATTTTCTGGGAGACGTAGGTGGACAAATTGAGCGCGAAGAATTGACAGATATCTTGTTTAGAATTTATTATATTTCCTTGTGAGTCCATTATGCAACAAATATATGTAGTTTTTAGGGATGACCTGTGGTAACTTGAAAATATCTGGTTTCAATAACCACGACAAAATGGAGATGGATTCAAGTAGATCCGAAGAATCCCAATTCAAGGATATACTAGATAATTAAATCAGAATTTCTATCCCAGTGGGAGATAAAACCTAAAAAATGTCAAAAACCCGACGAAATGTCATCTTGCAAACTAGACAGTTTTTAGTGTGCAAATAGTTCATTCCACACTTGCTTGCTATGATCGCTGTTAGCTGACGTTTAAGCAACACATACAGCTACAATACGAGTTCACAACAAATGTTAACATCATGTAGAAAAACCTACGAAATGTAAATAAACCTACGAAATGTAAAAAAAACTGACGAAATGTCACTTTTTAAGATACGTAATACCGGTGCCGTTAATACAAGAGATATCCTAACCTACTATGTAACCGCAGATAGAATATCTCTAGTGGATTAGTCTTTTTTGTCATGTAGAGAAACAACGACATACGGGGAAATCTAAGGAGAACTGAAGTTGATTTAAGGAACTCTTTGGTCTAAAAGAAGTTGCAGAGGAAATCCCCCCGGACTATAGCCCTCCTGTGAACAGCACCGGCTATTGTAAGTTTCGTAGGA